ACTCTCCAATCACAACACATACAGCTGTTGAGAGATATAATTGAAGAATTAATGTGATGTGGCTTTATTATTTTCTTTTATTGCATCATTATTTTATCGCATCACTCAACAGTGCTATATTAAAGACAGAAATAGGAGTTTGCAGGGTTTTGCCCAAAGGAATATGTGAACTCATTAGTTCGCCTATCAAAGGTTGCCTTGCTTTGGGAGGGCTCTCAAAGCTCTGGTAGGGATCTTTTCCAAGAGGCTTCCTGGTTATCTCAAAATCTGTGAAGCCTTCCTATTTTTGAAAGACAGGTAAATATCTTGCTCACAGAATGGGAGCTGGAGACAATGAGTACCCTAGCCAAGAGACATGCCCCTGTGGTTATGAACAATTTGTTTTGTACAGATGGGTTTCCTGCTCTCTCCTGTCTGCCTTAAGTCCATAATAACTGGATCAAAGAAATACAGAGCCACTATACCTCTTTGTTATTACTCTGGTAATTGATAACTATCTCTTAGAACTTAGAAGTTAGCCCCTGAAAGACTTTGCACCTGTTTGTTCACCTAGATAGATTAGAATTTGTTAGAAGCCCTTTGAAAGGACTTTTGACCCTAAGCCACTACCTGTTACCCATAGCAAGCAAGATTATCTAATATGTAAATCTGTTACCCTGACAACTGGTAATTGATATCTGTGATTATAAAAACCTATGTGAATCTAACCAAAATAGTGGACCACTTATGGAGATATGGTCCAGACTCCTGAGTACCCCTGCTTTATCTGCTCTATTTATATAAATCTATAAACTATACCTCAGTCTCTGTGTATTCTTTTATTTTCTCTATTTCCTATCAATTTTCTTATCTTCTGTGGCTGCCCCTATCTAAGGGATCTGGCCTGATCTCCTCGCAGCCCTGCCTCCCCACATACAGTAGCTGAATGGATAAAAAAACAAGACTAAACTGTATGTTGTCTATAATAAACTCACTTCACCTACAAAGACACACACAGACTGAAAATAAAGGGATAGAAAAAGATATTCCATGCAATGGAAACCAAAAACAGGAGTAGCTATATATCTATCAGATAAAAGAGAATTCAAGATAAAAACTGTAAAAACAAAGAAGGTCATTTTACCATGATAAAGGGGTAAATTCAACAGGAGGATAAAACAATTCTAAATATATATGCATGCAACACTGGAATACTCAGACATATAAGGCAAATATTATCAGAGCTAAAGGGAAAGATGGATCCCTTGTTTCAAATAAATAACCTAACAATATATCTTAAAGAACTAGAAAAACAAGAGCAAAGCAAACCCAAAATTATCAGAAGAAAAGAAATAACAAAGGTTAGAACAAAATAAGTGAAATAGAAACCAAAAAATACAAAAGACCAATGAAACAAAAAAGTTAGTTTTTGAAAAGATAAACAGAATTGATGTACATTTAGCCAGACTAAGAATAAAAGAAAGAAGACCCAAATAATAAAATCAAAGATGAAAAAGGAGACATTACAGCTGATAACTGCAAAAATCCAAAGGATCATTAGAGACTGCTATGAGGTTATTTTCCAATAAGCTGGAAAACCTAGAAGAAATGAATACATTCCAAGCCACACACAACCTACCAAGATTGAACCAGGAAGAAACCCAAAGACTGAATAAACCAATAACAAGTAATGAGATGGAAAGAGTAATAAAAAGTCTCCTATCAAAGGAAAAGCCAGGACCATATATGGCTTCACTGCTAAATTCTACCAAGCTTTCAATAGGCTATTCCAAAAAATCAAAAAGGAGGGAATTATTCCCAAACTCATTCTATGAGGCCTATATCACCCTGATACCAAAACCAGACAAAAACAAAACAAAATAAAACTATAAGCCAATATCTCTGATGAATACAGATTCAAAAATCCTCAACAAAATGCTAGTAAACCAAATGCAACAACACATTAAAAAGATCATTCATCATGATCAAGTAAGATTTATCCCAGGGATGCAAGGATGGTTCAACATATGCAAATCAATCAATGTGATACGTCATATCAACAGAATGAAGGACAAAACAAATAAAAACCCCACATGATCATTTCAATTGATCCTGAAAAAGCATTTGAAAAAATTCAACATCCCTTCTCTTCATTATAAAAACTCTCAAAAAACTTAGTATAGAAGGAATATACCTCAACACAATAAAAGCCAGATATGACAGACACATAGCTAGTATCCTAGCGAATAGTGAAAGACTGAAAGCCTTTCCTCTAAGATCTGGAACAAGACAAGGATGCCACTTTCACCACTGTTGTGCAACACAGTACTAGAAATTCTAGATAGAGCAATCAGACAAGAGAATGAAATAAAGAACATCCAAACTGGAAAGAAGTCAAATTATTCTTGTTTGCAGATGATATGATCTTACATCTAGAGAAACTTAAAGACTCCACACACAAAAAACTATTAGAACTGATAAGCAAATTCAGTAAAGTTACAGGATACAAAATCAACATACAAAAATGAGTAGCATTTATATATGCCCAAACCAAACAATCTGAAAAAGAAACCAAGAAAGTAATCCCATTTACAATAGCTACAAATAAAGTACTGATAAAATACCTAGGAATAAACTTAACAAAAGAAGTAAAAGATCTCTATAATGAAAATTATAAAACATTGATGAAAAAAATGAAGAGGACACAAGAAAATGTAAAGATATTCCACACTCACAGATTGGAAGAATCAATATTATTAAAATGTCCACACTACCCAAAGAAATCTACAGATTTAATGCAATCCCCATCAAAATACCAATGACATTCTTCACAGAAATAGAAAGATAGTCATACAATATATATGAAATTACAAAAGACCAAGAATAGCCAAAGCCATCTTAAGCAAAAAGAATAAAACTGGGGGAATCACATTACTTGACTTTAAATTACTCTACAGAGCTACAATAACCACAACAGCATGGTGCTGGCATAGGAACAGACACACAGACCAATGTAACAGAAGAGAGAATTCAGAAATAAATCCACACATCTTTAGTGACCCTGTTTCAACAAAGGTGCCAAGAACATACAATGGGGGAAAGGACAGTCTCTTCAATAAATGGTGCTGGGAAAACTTGATATCCATATGCAGAAGAATAAAACTAGACCCTTATCTCTTGCCATATGCAAAAATTAAATCAAAATAGATTAAAGACTTAAATCTAAAAACAGAAATTATGAAATTACTAAAAGAAAGCATTGGGGAAATGCTCTAGGACACTGGTCTGGGCAATTACTCCCTGAGCAATGCCCCAAAAGCACAGGGAACCAAAGCAAAATTGGACAAATGTGATCATATCAAGCTGAAAACCTTCTGCACAGCAAATGAAATAGTCAACAAAGTAAAGAGACAATCCACAGAATGGGAGAAAATGTTTGCAAACTACCCATCAGACAAGGGATTAGTAACTAGAATGTGTAAGGAGCTCAAACAACTTGATAGGAAAAAATCAAATAATTCAATTTAAAAATGGGCAAAAGATCTAAATAGACATTTCTCAAAAAGAGACATACTAATTGCCAACAAGTGTATGAAAAAACTGCTATCATTAGTCATCAGAGAAAGGCAAATCAAACCTACAATGAGATATCATCTCATGTCAGTTAAATGGCTTTTATCAAAAAGACAGGCAATAAAGAATGCTGGTGGGGATGTGGTGAAAGGGGAACCCTCGTATACTGTAGGTGGGAATGTAAATTAGTGCACCATGAAATGTAAATTAGTTTCCACTATGGAAAACAGCGTGGAGGGTCCTCAAAAAACTAAAAATATGGCTTAGCAATCCCACTGCTAGGTATATATTCAAAAGAAAGAAATTCAGTATATCGAAAAGATACCTGCACTACCATGTTTACTGCAGCACTATTCACAACGGCTAAGATTTGGAATCAACCTAAGTGTCCATTAATGGATGAATACATAAAGAAAACGTGGTACACACAGACAATGGAATATTATTCAGCCATAGAAAGTTATAAAATCCTGTCCTTTGCTACAAAATGGATGGACCTGGAGAACACTATGTTAAGTGAATAAGCCAAGCACAGAAAGATAAATCTCACATGTTCTCACTCATATGTGGGAGCTAAATAATAGAATAATTGATCTCGTGGAAACAGAGAGTAGAATGATGGTTACCAGAAGCTGAGGAGGATAGCAGGGATAGGGGAATAAAGTGGGGATGGTTACTGGGTGCAAAAATATGAGAATTAGATAGAATGAACTACCTTTGATAGCACAGTAAAGTGACTACAGTCAACAATAAGTTATGGTAGACTTTAAAATAACTAAAACAATGAAACTGGAATGTCCCTAACACAAAGAAATAATAAATGCTTGCGGTGATAGACACCCCAATTACCCTGATTTGATTATTACATACTGTATGTATGCATGTATCAAAGGTAGATGTACCCTGTAAATATATATAACTCTTATGTAGGCATATTAAAAAACTTTTTAAAAATTATGCCAGTCATATTTCAATGAAGTAATTTTAAAAAACTGAAAAAAATAATTTAAAATTAAGATAATAATGGGGAATATTTGAAATGAAAATTTTCATGAGCTTTCTTTTTTTTTTTTGAGACAGAGTCTCACTTTGTTGCCCAGGCTAGAGTGAGTGCCATGGCGTCAGCCTAGCTAATGGCAACCTCAATCTCCTGGGCTCAAGTGATCCTCCTGCCTCAGCCTCTCAAGTAGCTGGGTCTACAGGCATGCACCACCATGCCTGGCTAATTTTTTGTATATATATTTTTAGTTGGTCAATTAATTAATTTCTATTTTTTAGTAGAGACGGGGTCTCACTCAGGGTGATTTCGAACTCCTGACCTTGAGCAATCCGCCTGCCTCGGCCTCCCAGAGTGCTAGGATTACAGGCGTGAGCCACCTCGCCTGGCCTTCATGAGCTTTCTGAATCACAATTAGACTGCAAAAAAAGTTGTTATTTTATTGGCTCACCAGTTGTACTTTTGTTCCAAGGAAGCTCCACCATAAGTTCCAAATAATTTCTTGTCAGAGCATATTCTGGCATTGACTGAGGCATTTTTTTGAGTCTGTGGGGAAAGAACACATAGCAAACATGCTCAAGAAGATAGAAGAATCCCATAATAACAGAAAAATCAAGCAAATCTCCTTTTCTTGGTTAGACATATCATGAGTATTTTGTTAAACAAATCTAGAAATTTTTAAGGATCCAGTTAATAAAAAGCTTATTTTTTTCTGTAATGCACTTGCAGAACAACATAAAACAGATACCTGCAAACTAGAGGGAAAAATAGTATAACTAATGCTATCCTGGAAATATGGCCTCACCAGTATCTGTCCCTTTTGAGCTCAGAGGGAGTCTTAAATAACATATATCCATAGATTTCCTTATCACAGTAAGATTTAAGTGCCTAACTATGCATAAAACAATAACTATATATGTTTTTATATGATACATGAAGTATGCTCATAAAAGCCAGCTAGTATCAGACATTCATTTATTTTTATTTTAGCATATTACAGGGGCACAGATGTTTAGGTTACATGTATTGCCTTTGCCCCACCCAAGTCAGAGCTTCAAATGTGTCCATCCCCTAGACAGTGCACACTGTACCCCTTAGGTGTGAATATACCCACCCTCCTCCCCTCAACTGACACCCAAAGAATGTTACTACTATATATGTACTTAAGTGTTGATCAGTTAATACCAATTTGATGGTGAGTACATGTGGTGCTTGTTTTTCCATTTTGGGTATACGTCACTTAGTAGAATGGGCTCCAGCTCTCTCCAGGATAATACAAGAGGTGCTGTACCACCATTGTTTTTTCTGGCTGAGTAGAACTCCGTAGTATACATATACCACATTCTATTAATCCACTCATCTATTGAGGGGCACTTGGGTTGTCTCCACATCTTTGCAATCGTGAATTGTGCTGCTATAAACATTTGAGTGCAGATGTCTCTTTTACAGAATGTCATTTTATCCTTTAGGTAGATGCCCAGGATTGGGATTGCTGGATCAAATGGTAGTTCTACTTGTAGCTCTTTGAGGTATCTCCATATTACTTTCCACAGAGGCTGTACTAGTTTGCGGTTCCACAAGCAGTGTATAAATGTTCCTAACTCTCTGCATCCACACAAACATTTGTTGTTTTGGGACTATTTGATAAAGGCCATTCTCACTGGGGATAAGTGATACCTCATTGTGGTTTTGACTTGCATTTCCCTGATGATTAGAGACATTGAGCATTTTTTCATACATTTGTTGGCCATTAGTCTATATTCTTTTGAAAAGTTTCTGTTCATGTCCTTTGTCCACTTTTTGATAGAGTTGTTTGATTTTTCCTTGCTGATTTTCCTGAGTTCTATATAGACTCTAGTTATTAGCCCTTTATCGGACATGTAACATGTGAATATTTTCTCCCATTCTAGAGGTTATCTGTTTGCTATCATGATAGTTTCCTTGGCTATGCAGAAGCTTTTTAATTTGATCAGGTCCCATTTACTTATTTTTGTTGTTGCTGTTATTGCCTTTGGGGGTCTTCTTCATAAATTCTTTGCCTAGGTCAACGTCTAGGAGAGTTTTCCAACATTTTCTTCTAGAATTCTTATAGTTTCATGACTTAGGTTTAAGTCTGTTATCCACCATGAGTTCATTTTTGTGAGAAGTGAAAGGTACAGATCCTGTTTCAGTCTTCTACATGTGGCTATCCAGTTTTCCCAGCACCATTTATTGAATAAGGATTCTTTTCCCCAGTGTATGTTTTTGCGTGCTTTGTCAAAGATCATATAGTTATATGTGGATACATTTATATCTGGGTTCTCAGTTCTGTTCCAGTGGTCTATTTCTCTGTTCTTGGGCCAGTACCATGCTATTTTAGTTGCTATAGCCCTATAGTATAATTTGAAGTATGGTAAATTGATGCCTCCGAATTTGTTCTTTTTGTTTAATGTTGCTTTTGCAATGAGGAGTCTTCTCTTGTTCCATATGAAGTGAATTATTTTTTCTAGATCTGTGAAAAATGATATTGGTATTTTAATAGGGATTGCATTGAATCTGTAGATCACTTTTTGATAAAGTGATCTGTAGATCACTATTTGATAAAGGCCATTCTCACTGGGGATAAGTGATATCTCATTATGGTTTTGACTTGCATTTCTCTGATGATTAGAGACATTGAGCATTTTTTCATACATTTGCTGGCCATTAGTCTATATTCTTTTGAAAATATAGACATTTTAACAATGTTGATTCTGCCAATCCATGAGCCTGGTAAAATTTCTACCTGTTTACATCCTCTGCTATTTCCTTCCTCAGTGTTTCATAGTTTTCCCTGAAGAGGTCTATTACCTCCTTAGCTAAATATATTCCTAGGTATTTGCTGTTGTTGTTATTGTGCATGGGATTGAATCTTTGATTTGGGTTTCAGTTTGTTGCTGACCTATACAAATGCTACTGATTTGTGTACACTGATTTTATAACCTGAGAATTTGCTGAATTTGTTTATTAATTCTAGTAGTCTCATGGCAAAATCTTTGGACTTCTCTGGATATAAGACCGTATCATCAGCAAACAATAACAGTTTAACCTATTCTGCCCCCATTTGGATGCCCTTGGTTTACTTCTCTTGTCTGACTGCTCTGGCTACGACTTACAGCACTACGTTGAATAGAAGTGGTGATAGAGGGCAATGCTGTCTGGTTCCAATTCTAAGTGGGAATGCTTTCAATTTTTCCCTATTCAGTATGATTTTGGCTGTGGGTTTGTCATATATGGCTTCTACCATTTTTAGGTAAGTTCCATCTATGCCTATTTTGCTAAGCATTCTTATCATAAAAGGGTGCTGAATTTTGAATGCTTTTTCTGCATCTATTGAGAGGTCTCTGTTTTTGCTTCTACTTATGTGGCAAATTACATTTATAGATATGCATATGTTGAACCATCCCAGCATCTCTGGGATGAAGCCCACTTGGTCGTGATAAATTATTTTTTTGTTAACACCTGAATTTGGTTTGCTGGAATCGTATCGAGAATTTTTCCATTTATATTCATAAGGGATATGGTCTATAGTTTTCTTTTTTTGTTGTATCATTTCCTGGTTTTGGTATCAGAGTGATGCTGACTTCATTAAATGTATTGAGGAGGATTCCTTGCTTCTTAATGTTATGGAATAATTTCTGTAGGCCAGGCACCAGTTATTCTTTGTAGGTCTGGTAAAATTCGGGTGTGAAACCGTCTGGTACAGGACTTTTCTTTTTAAGGTTTTTATTGCTGCTTCAATTTTGGTTCTTGATATTGGTTTGTTCAGGAATTCTATTTCTTTCTGACTAAGCCCAGGGAGGCTGTTTCTAAGAATTTGTCCATTTCCTCCACATTTTCAAGTTAATGTGCATAGAGGTTTCCATAGTATCCACAAATGATATTTTGTATTTCTGTAGTATCAGTTATAATTTCTTTCTCATTCCTCACTGAGCTTATTAGTGTCCTTTCTTTTCTGCTTCTGGTTAATCTAGCAAGAGGCATGTCAATTTTGTTTAATTTTTCAAAGAACCGACTTTTTGCTTCATTAATCTTCCATACAGTTTTTTTGTTATTGATTTTGTTTAGGTCTGCTCTGGTCTTTGTTATTTCTTTTCTTCTGCTGGGTTTGGGGTTGGTTTACTCATCGTTTTCTAGGTCTCTGAGATGGTTCATTAGATTCTTGATTTTGGATCTTTCTGCCTTTTGGATGTAGGCATTTGTGTCTATAAGTTTTCCTCTCATGACTGGGTTAGCTGTGTCCCACAGATTTTGATAACTCATGTCTCCTTTATAATTCAGTTCAAAGAACCTTCTGATTTCCATCTTTATACCTCCTTAACATAATAATCATTCAGCAGAAGGTTGTTTAGTTTCCATGATTTTGTGTAGAGATGAGAGATTCTGTTGATTTCCAATTTCATTTCAATGTGGTCTGAGAAGATGTCTAGTATAATTTCTATGTTTTTAAATTTGTTGATACATGTTTTGTGGCCTAAGATATGGTTAATCTTAGAGAATGTCCCATGAGCTGATGGGAAAAACATATATTCAGTGGGTTTTGGGTAGAATGTTCTGTAAAAGTCAGTCAGACCCTTTTGTCCTGGAGTTCTTTTTAAGTCCATTGTTTCTTTGTTTATCTTATGTTTGGAGGATCTGTCCTGTTCTGTCAGAGAGTTATTAAAGTCCCTGGCTATTACGGTGTTGCTGTTTATCATTTTGTTTAGCTCAAGTAGGATTTGCTTTATGAATCTGGGTGCACCTGAGTTAGGTGCATAAATATTTAGAATTGTTATGTCTTCCTTGTTGCATTGTACCCCCTTCACCATTATATAGTGATCATCTTTGTCTTTCATTACTTGTTGCTTTGAAGACTAAGTTATCTGAAACCAGAACTGTCACACCAGCTTTCTTTTGGCTTCCCTTTGCATGAAATATTGTTTTCCACCCCTTCACCTTGAGTCTGAATGCATCCCTGTGGGTTAGATGTGTTTTCTGAAGACAGCAGATACTTGGCTTGTGTATATCTATCCATTCAGCCAGCCTATGTCTCTTTAATGGGCAGTTCAAGCCATTCATATTTATTGAGAGAATTGGTAAGTGGGAAAGATTTCTGTTCATCCTGTTGAGTTGAACTTTGTCTCTTGAGCCATTGCAGTATCTGGCCTTTGACCCTTAGCTTTTGGATGATTTTACACTGGTGAGTATTATTGTGATGATCCGTGTGTAACATTGTTTTGAGTACTTCCTGGAGGGCTGACCTTGTCTTGATGAATTCTCTCAGTCTTTGCTTGTCTGAGGTCTTTATTTCTCCTTCATATAAGAAACTTAGTTTTGCAGAGTATAAGATTCTAGGCTGGGCATTATTCTTTTTGAGAGGAGTGAGAATAGGGTCACAGTCTCTTCTGGCTTGTAAGGTCTCCATTGAGAAGTCTGCAGTTAGCCTGATGGGTTTTCCTCTGTAGGTTACCTGCTGCTTTTGCCTTACAGTTCGTACAAGGGCCAGTTTGATGATAATGTGTTGTGGTGTCTTCCTGTTTGCAATGAATCTCTCAGGAATCCTTTGAGCTTCTTGTACATGGATATCTAGACTTTTAGCAAGGCCAGGGGAATTTTCCTCCATTATATCCTCAAATAGTTTATCCAATCCTTATGTATTTTCTTCTTCACCCTCAGGGCTGCCTATAATTCTGTTAGGATTTTGCACATAATCCCATGTTCCTTGCAGGCTTTGCTCCTTTCTCTTATTTCTCTGCTCTCTGCAACTGACTTATTCAATTGCAAGGTGTTATCTTCATCCCTCATATTTTTTCTTCTGCTTGATCTACCCTATTCTTGAAGCCTTCCACTGTGTTTTGTAATTCCTTGAATAATTCTTCATTTCCAGAAGTTTTGTTTGATTGTTATTCACTATTTCAATTTCTTTAGTGAATTTTTCTTCTAAGCCCTGGATTTTTTGTGTGGTTTCTTTGTGTTGGATATCCATTTTATCTTGCATTTCATTGAGTTTTCTTACAATCATTGTTTGAAATTCTTCTGTCAGAGTCCTTAATTTGGTTAATATCCATTGCTAGAGAGCTGGTCTTCCCCTTTGGGGGTGCGCTTTCAGTTTGATTCTTAATACTTCCGGAATTCTTGCACTGATTCCTTCCTATCTGGAGCAGCTGTTGCTTCTCTGGATTTTTGTGTAGACAATGTCATGCCCAGTTTAGTCTCTGAACCAGTAGGTGGTGCCTGTGGGTGAGAATCGACCACACTCCCTGTGATGAGTCAGTAAATGCAGTAAAAGCACATGCAAATTGACCTCCCTGCCAATAGGTGGTGCTTTCCAGGAGGAACAAACTGCAATGTTGTTTTGGGGTCCTATGACCAGCTCTAGTTCCCCTGGAGAGGCACTCTAGTGCCTCAGGTGGTGGGTGGGGCCCTGGGGCTTCGAGGTGTGTCCTTATTCTCAAACTCAGTGGGGGCAGGTGGGGGAGTGCGGCTGGGCAGAGCTGGGTTGAATGAGCCTGCACTCAAATGCTGCTGTTATTAGGGGTCAAAGGTCTGCTCTCCGCTCCTGGGCAAAGCTGCCAGGGAAGGGCTGAAATGGCCCCACTGAGCCAAAAAGTCTGTGTGTGGAGGTGGGGCTGTTCTGGAGCAGGCCTCATTCCTTTCAACCCTCCCCTATTCTGAGGTTTCTTTCCAGCGTCAGATCACGCCTGCAGACCTGTCCCCTGGGCCCTGGAAATCAATCCCTGACCGTGCCAGGGAGAGGAGTGCTAGTCTCTAATCATCCACAGGTTGCCCAAGCTTGATCAATGTCTCTCCACCTCTGGATCTGCCCTGCTCTGCTGGAGTCACCAGGCAAGGAACACCTGGGGGGGCCAGCAGGTAGGGAGATCACAGTGTAAGTACCCCTCCCTCAGTACACTGCAGGGCCCCAAAAGGAAAGGTTCCATTCCCTGTGGATGCCTCCGGGTGGTGGCTAAGTTGTCTCTCTCAGCCGCTGTGGGTACGGGAATGGAAGGGGAGAATGAAGCAATATGGTGCCTGTCAATCAGCTGGGGTCGGTGGGGCAGGAAGTGCCCAGAGGAGCTGGGAGCCTGGTGCCCTATCCACAAGGGGCTCACTGCTCACTGGTGTCAGTAGTCTCTGGGCTGGTGTTGGCAGGTTTTTCCAGAAGCTCAGGAGCCCACCAGCAGTCCCAGATGCAAGGGAGGGGAAATTTAACCTCTCCACCTACCCTTGTAGCTTGTCTCCAAGCCTCTCGGGGTTTAGACCCTGCTAATGCCTTTCTCCTTCCAGTTCTGCTCCACAATTTCTTCCTATGGGGCCTCCTATAGTTTCAGGCACCCTTCCTTTCGACCTATATGCAATCTATGACCCACATGCAATCTATGTTTGTCTGCCTGTTTATTTTTATCACTTTCATCTAAAATCTATCTTTCTGATAGATATACTCTGGCTGGCAGTGTTTCTCATCTGCCATCTTGCCTCTATCTCTATTATCTAATCCAGATATTTAATAAAAATGCAACTTCCATAATGTATGCAGTGCTTAGCACAGTGTTCTATCCATAAGAGATGTTCTACATTTATGAACTAATGTCAGAGTCAATATAAAATACCCCCTACTACATTTACTAATGTTCTTAACTAAGCACCCTAGAAGGTCAAATCTTAAGTTACTGAGCATTGAAGCAGGCTCATTATAATTCACTAATAAAAGAAAATGCAATATAGTTATAAAGTTATAAGTATGTAAGGAAAAAATGATTTTCTATTTAACCCTGAGGTTATCCAGAAAATGTAATCAATCCATATTCTATTATCAAGATTTCTCCATACTTTGTCTTATATAAAAAGAAACTGACAGTTTGTGCCCTTTGGAATTTATAATCTAAAGAAAACAGTGATATGTGACGAACACAGTGATAACTGAACATATATTCTCAAAACAAAAAAGTATGGTCCATTGTTTTAGACAATGAAAAGGCAACTACACAATAGTTATAATGTTGAGAGCATACTATAGGTGGAAAAACTGTATATTTATCCTTAGTATTTGAGAAAAAGATTAGTGAAAGTGATATTAATTCAGGAGTTAATACTTAAGAATGTCTTAAGAATCAGATTCCAGTTGAAAACTTAAGGAAGAGGGAAAAACATTCCATAGATCAAAGGTATAAAGTGAGGATTAGGAAAGCCTTGAAAGATAAGAGTTGGCAATGGAAAGATAAGATGAATGGGTAGTCTATGAGTATATCAACCATCAGGAAAGAAAAGCAGAGAATATAAAACAGATGACTCAGCTTTCAGTCTGTGATCCAAAGTAGCAGAATCAAGTTTCCATGACTAACAATTTTTAACATTAATAAACCAAATGAATAAATGTCTTATATAATTTACCTTTTTATCTCTTTGACACAGACTTTATGGGCCTGCTCTGGCATACTGGATGTCCGTATCTTTTTCTCTAGCATGACAATGTCATCATTATCTTCATCCTCATCATCATCTTCTAAAGCACCTGGAATGTGTGTAACCCTCCTAATAGGGCGTATTGCTATAACCTAATGTAGAAAGCAGAAGAGTAAAACCATATGTCAAAATAAATTGGAAATGAAGTACGTAGTTACACACATGTAAAGTTATGATTGGTGCTGAATAGCATAAACATTTTTTATGGCTACAGTCAATATTGTAAGGAATTAAAAGTTCAGAATGATGATGCAATCAACCTATATATCCTATTCTGCCAAGATTTCCCCAAATTTTGTCTTGTACAAAGAGAAACTGACAGTCCCTATCCTCTAGACTTTATTATCTAAAGAACAAAACAGTGGCATGTGAAGAATACAGGGATAACTGAAAAAATACTATGTCCAAACATATGTACGCATGGAGGCAGCAGAATTTTAAAAGTAGACCAACATAAGGTAGACATGATTCTTTGATATATGCTTAAAATAATATTGCATGGGGAAAAACATCCAAGGAACTAATTACTAGAAATAATTAAAACATGTAAGAATTATCTTTCTTTGAGCTACTACTGCAGCTGCTATTTTCTCAATATACATTACTAATTACCATTTGGTGACTGAATAAATTTCCATTTTTCCTACATTACAAAATTTGTCTGTCTTCAATACATAAAGTCTTCTCCCTTTCAAAATATTTTATCTTACCTATAGTTCCTTTTAGTAAGATACTACTACACTATGTACTTCCCTTGTGAGATTCTGCTTCTCTGACAAGCAGCAATAACCACCACTTCCCCTTCCTCGTCAATTACTTTAGTAAGCCTTTGGTTCTGTCCTCATCATGCTGAAATTGTTCTTTCAACCCTAACAACTATTTTTTGTCCCAAGTCAAATGACCTCTGTTTGTGTTCTCTTTCTCCATGATCTCTCCACCATATTTTAAAACTACCTTATGTGCTCTTTGAAATTCATGAATCAACTCCAATCATTACTGGAGCAAAATGATACACTGATATTTACAAGCCTCCAGAATTTACTTTTTTCTAACCTGGGAAATTATCTATCTAATACATTCAAATATAAAAAGTTTAAAATAGAAAGCAGTAAATAAAATTATAATTTTATAAAAATAAATATTAAACATATATATTTTATTCTTATATAAGTCATTAGTAGATAAAATTAATAAAATATTTTAAAGGATAAAAAACTGAAAATAAAATATTTTTTAAAAGTGAGATTTAAAAAAGCATATCAATGATTTCATTGTTGAGGCAAAAGTACTTTTTTATGCATTTTTTTCTTCTGACTGCTAAAACAGTGTTTTCAACTCTTAGGGGGATGACAAAGAAACAACTTTAGACTAACTCTAAATATTATCCTCGTATTCCTACATATCCTCGTAGTCCTACATTATTCCTCGTATTCTTAAATAACTGTCTCTTGTTTGATCATTTTCTGGTATGCTTTTCAACACCTTTCTTTTTAAGTGATGGTAACCTTTATTGACAGTAAGCTGCAGTTTTCTGTGACTCTCAGTGCAGAGTGTATGTAGATTTGTCTTTCTACACAAAATGAGTAACTGAGTCACTGATCTGATCTCAAGCCAAAAATAATTCATATTTACAGTGCTTAACAGCGAGCGTGGTGTCCCAGAGTACTAAACACCAGGATGGTGATCATTACTCCTATCTCTCTCTTTGGCCTACTTTCCTGCCCCTTCTCTAATGCCACCAAGGAGGAGTCCTTTCCTTCTGCTCTTCTTTTTCTACAACATATTTCCTTTGGTGAGGAAACACTTCCTTGCTGATGACCATCAAGTCGCTAACATTATTCTCAACACTTCACTTAAGTCAGAGTTCTGCATCTGCAACAGCCTTCAGAGGACTGCCATTTTCACACCTTGTTCACATCAAATATATCTTCCTGAACTTAACTCTGCCCAGGCATAAAAACAGTAAAATTAACAGCTCCAAGTAAACTTCAAACAGATCATATATACATTAGTATGATAATGGGGAAGGGAAAGATTATTTAATTAGTGGTACTGAGTCACATTAAAAGCTATTTGACAGAAAAACATAACTATTTTCTTCATCTTATTAACAGGACAAAATAAATATCATATGGGTTTGTTGGGGACTGACATTATACTTTCCTGGTTTAAGAATTAAATTTAGTGAGTAATGTACATGCTCTGTCCAGAGCGTTTGAAAGTAATGTGTTCTGGACAGGGTCCTTGTGACAAACAAGGTTGCTGCCTAGAGGCATAACAAAGGGCCTGAGTTTCTGCAAGTAAGCAAGAGCTCCCCAGCCCCAAGGCAGTGGGGGTCTGGAGGCCACATGATAAACACATTGTTCCTAGGATTGCTGCTTAGCCCCATAAGATGGCTGGTTAGTCAATGACAGGTAAGATTCCTCAGGGAGGAATGACCTAAGCCATACACAGCCGCTGGGGGGCCAGCCTAGAGGAACTGGGGACGGAAAATGCCCCCCTGTGGCTGCCTTGCCTAACCTTGCTAATCTCGGGCTGTAATCTATGCCTGGCGCCTAGAGCAACCACCTGGAAACCTTGAGTCAGGGGACATCTATGTCCTTAAGGCTACATGTTCCAGAATTTATGGCCATTGCTGAAATGCCTAGGTGGTCATGTATAATGAACTAACTTTGATTTTTTAAAGTATAAAAATAAACTGACGAGTGCATTGGACACTCAAGTCATGTAACTGTCTTTTTTGTGTGTCTGTGTCTTCTTTTTGTGTTTCTTTGTATTCTGTGTTCATCCCCCGTCCTGCAAATGGGCCACGGCATGGGTTAAATACTTTTTAAAAAATTGATTAAAGGAAAACTAAAAAGAAAAGTAAATATTTATCAAACCACTGGAGGTTAGAGGACTCTAAGCTCAGAAGACAGGAAAAGACTGAGAGTTTGACTAAATAAAACTGAAACTTTTGTAAGTCTAAACAAAAAAGTCAATCAAATTATGGCACAACACATAGTCCTCCTAGGAAATAATTTTGTATTATGTAGTAAAATAATATTATACTCAAAGACAATCATCATAGTTATTTGCTAGTTTTTTAAATGTGCAAAAATTGGAAACAACATACAATGTTTGACAAAAGGGGAAGTGACTCATAAATTATCCCTTTGGATGGTAACCAAAGCAAAAAACAAAAAAATTGAGAAAAAGGCTTATATGCCTTAAAAATAAAAATCCAGGCATGGAAAAAGCACTAGAGGGAAACACACCTAAATTTTATCAGTGACTTCGGCGGAAAAAGACAATGAATTTTTTTCTTCTTTGTTCCTTTCTTTATTCCCCTCAATTTTTTTTTTTTTTTTTAAAACAGAATCCAGCCACACCACACAAGCCTGACAAAATGGATTAAAAGAAATATTTACCCGCTTATCATCATCTTGCTTGGGTTTTCTGGTTTTTTGAAGCAATTTCAAGCCTTCAATTTGTCTGACAAGCAATGGTATAGTCATCTTGAACCTCTCCTCTAGGCTCACAGCATCTAAAATCTAAGGAAATGTGAGTGAATTAATAGAATCTCTCCCTTAGAAACACACACTCCAAAAACAGACAATGAGAGCCATGGCTCAAATTGTTAAGTAAAAAGAGAAAAAAACAATTCCTATCTATATACAGCTACACTATGGCTAATACAATCAAACAAACTGTAACAACAAGGTTCTTTGAGATGAATATTAGAATTATAAAAAAGATAAAAAAAGGATCTTGGTTTTCATTTTAAAATTAAACCACTCATGTATTTCAAGATTAAAAACCAAACACACAGTTTTGGTTTTCGAAGAACCAAACTTCTTCTGGAAATTATTCTCTTAAAGCCCAGAATGTGTCTACATGTTAGGTCTAAACAAATTCTAGGTTCAAAATAGTAAATGTTCCTGTAATCCTAGCTCTTGGGAGGCCGAGGCGGGCGGATTGCTCAAGGTCAGGAGTTCAACACCAGCCTGAGCAAGAGCGAGACCCCGTCTCTACTATAATAGAAAGAAATTAATTGCCAACTGATATATATAAAAAATTAGCTGGCATGGTGGCGCATGCCTGTAATCCAGCTACTCGGGAGGCTGAGGCAGGAGGATCACTCGAGCCCAGGAGTTTGAGGTTGCTGTGAGCTAGGCTGACGCCACGGCACTCACTCTAGCCTGGACAACAAAGTGAGACTCTATCTCAAAAAAAAAAAAAAAAAAGTAAATGTTTATACACAAGCGAATAGAAGCATTCAACCAATCCTCATTAATGACTTGTCAGAGTAACTGCTGCTCTTGGTTCCTTCAGTAAAACATATCTGATGATGCCCACAGCAGGGACTCTCATACTCCCACACTCCTCTGCTCCCACCAGTCTAACAGAATTCTTATATCCATAACCAACCTGTTTGTATTAATTATATTTGCTATTTTAATTGCTAGATTTACATATTAACTAACTAATAAAGAGTTGTTTCAATGAAAGCTAACAAATGTTCTAAGAAAATATAATAAAAAAAGACAGCTTAAAAATAAAAATAAAATACATTAAAAAGAAGTGTATAAGAAAACAAAGTTTTATAGTTTGGGGATTAATTCAAGTAAATCTAGCATTCTACACTTTGATTGTTTTTCAAGTGTCTTTAAAACTCATTTCACTTTAAATAAATAGAAACAAAATCATAAATAATGTACCACAGGTGTGATTTATATAAGAAACATTATGAAATTTCCAAGAAAGCAGGTGTATACACAAGGGAAAGGCCATGGTTTCACATTTCAAAAATGGTAAGGCAAAGTGTGTTTACATATTAAAGTTAAATATTTATCCTTTTATGATTCTTTGCCTTATTTTTTCCATAAAAGACCAATTACTATACTGGTTGTACAAATAAAAGAGCTGCTTGTATAAACAAAAATAGAAAACAATCACTTTTAAATATCAATTTAAGTATACAAGTGTTTTAACTACTCCTCTAAGTCTCCAGAATATTTTTCTTGAAGGTTAAAATTTAACTACTCACTATCTAGATCTAAATAAAAAGTAACAAAGCAATACGGCATTCAAGAAGGGGACACTGTACCTGGAGCTTCTCTTTGTTGCTGGTTCGGATAATTGATGTCAAAATGTCCGGTAAAGCTTCCCTTGGAAGACTATCTAAAAGACGTCTCAATTTAGCAACTGCAGGGACAGACATATCCAACATTTCAACCAACTGGAAGGAAAAAGAAAGTCTTTTTAATGAAATCTGGTATTATTTGTGAATTTAAAAAAATCAGACTTCCAAATAGGTTTAAAGTTTGGGCCTCAGCCTTTGTTTCTGAAAGGTCACTGATTAATATAGTCCAGGTATTTTACGGGCCTCAGAGAAGTACTCTCAAAATATCAATCCCAACGAAACGCAAAAATGGTTTAAAAGTGGTTAATGCTGATATTTATAAAAGCCTTTGTGATTTGTGCTATTTTATTTTGAAAAAATTCAAACATATATAAAAGTTGCAGGAATAGTACAACAAACTCCTGTATGTCTTTCTCCTAGATTTACCAATTGAATTCACCAATTTTGCCACATTTGCTTTCGCTCTCCATACACACACATCATTGTTGCTGAACATTTGAGAGTAAGTGGCAGACATCATGACCCTTGTTCTTAAGAACAAGAATATTCTCTTACATAATAACAATTATTAGATGTTAGAAATTTAACATAGTTGATGCTATTATGATAGCCAATCAGAAGTTGAAATACTGATTATTAGTTTAACATTTGGAGTAACTAGAATCTGAGCACTGACTGTGAATGATTTTTAGAAAAACAACATCCAAGGTATATTCTGGAATTAAGACCGATTAAGTCCAAGGCAACCTTTCAGTAACTGTGATAATCATTAGGGCTACTGACAAAGATTCCCCTTTTCTTCTGAGCACATGGTAAGACTGTTCTTTCTACCTCCTTTGAATAGAGATATGGCTGTGAGTCTTACATTGATCCATGAAACACAGAAAAAGGGACAGTCCCTTCTGGGCAGAAACATTAAAAACCAGTAGGAGATTTGCCACACTTCCTTTTTCTGCCTCAGTGATAAAGAAGTATGTTTTAAGATGAATTTCTAATCCAACTGGGTCCCTATATGAACTCTTATAGGCACATCACCACACTCACTATTTTCAGGTACGAAGCATGAGCAAGAAATACAGCTTGTTATGTTATGTGACTCAGATTTCAGAGTAGTTAAAAGAGTAAAACTTAGTTCACACTAGTTCACAAATGATGTACCAAATTCTCATTTCGTCAACTCAAGACTTCATGTCATTAATAATCAAATAGCTTAAACAATAATGTAATTTAGGAACCTATCCATTACCTGGCTAGAATTAAGGAAATTAAAGTATAATTATGATGATGCGAATCAAGTAAGAGAAATAGATAATAAAATTTGAAGACCCTTGCTACTAGAAATTCACCCTATGAAAATAAGTTAAAACAGTTAAAATTCATTCTCCAAACATTTACTGAGTATAAACTACTTACCAGATGCAATATTATGTTCAGTATAGGATGGCTAAAGCAGAGATAAATTCAAGTTTGGTAGGAGAAAAATACCCTACTTCAATACAATGTGATACTATATTAAATGACATGCATAAACAACTGACGGTGAAGGTGCAGAAAAAGGAGTACTAACAGCCTATGGGAGTTGGGAAAGCATATATTGAATTTAAAAATTAAGAGGAGGAGGAGCACTCCCAGAAGAGAACAGAGGCAGAATCATATAGACATGAAATAATAAGATGTTAAACTCTTTTTATGCTCAGTATGGCTAAAACTAGGGTGTAAATGGAGAACTAGAGTTGAAGCAAGATAGGTAGGCCTAAGACAAGTTGCAAAAGGTCTTAATGTTATATTAAGAAATTTGGGGGTGGAAGGAAAGTAGGAAAGATTCAGAGTGGGGCGAGAATTCAATGCACAGTTGCTGGCTTTGAAGAGGAGAGGGCCATGCACAAGACCAGAGAGCCACCTCTGGGAGCCTGACAGCGACTCCTGGCAGACAGCCAAGAAAGAAACCTCAGTCCTATGGCCACAAGAAACTGCACCTGCCAACCACCTGAATACCTTGGAAAGCAGTGCTTCTCCAGATAAGAGGCCAGCCTAGCTAAGATCTTGATTTTGCCCTGGTGAGGCCCTGAGCAGAGAATCCAGGGGAGCCCACCTAGTCTTCTGACCTATAAACTTGTGAGGTAATAATGAATGCTGTTTTAAGCGCCTAAAAAAAAAAAGAAAGAAAGAAATTTGGTCTTTAACTCAAGACCATGAAAGGCATGCCCCACACTTTTTTTTTAAACACTTCCTGTTCTTGCTCAGTGAATAGGTGGTGTTAAAAACAGAAGAAACTAGGTGGTAGTTAGGAGGCTACTGAAGAAGTCTACTGAAAAGAGCAGTAAAAGCAGATATAGAGGGGATGAAAGAGAAGCATTAATTGGAAACAGTGTCTAAAAAGAGAAATGATAATGTGATATTCCAACTCTAGAAATTTATAAAAGTGTCTATATGAAAATTAGACATGGACATGAAAGCAAAACATAAAACTGAATATGGACCAAGACCAGAAGACAAAATTTAAATTAGATGTATGCTGTTAAGTAAAATTTATGGTGATTTATTTCTCTCTAAAAATTCCTTTAACATTATTGCAAAATCTTTACACGTTTAAAAAGTTTTGGTATATCCAAACTGGAAAGTAGTAAAGGCAAAGCAAAAGAAACTATAAAGCTATGTCCAATAGAAGTACAAAGACCAGGGAGCGTCACCCCAGAAAAGAAGAGGAAATTCTATTTCCCCTCTTTTTTATTCCTAAACAGTTCAAACTGAAGTTACTTTCTTCAGAGCAAGTTCTTTCTTTCAGCCCCATAGAACTACAGCTTGAAATTTTTTATTTTTCTATTATGTTTATCGCACTAGAAGTGAGTAACTTCAAAAGCCACATCAGGTGCAAATACCATAGGCTGTGAACACTTGCCCTACACACTTTTCAATGATGTGTGGTGTTTATAATTAAGACATTTAGACATTATCTGATTCTCATAGATCCTGCTATAGTCACTAAATTATATCTATAGAAAAGTAGAAGCCTACCTCTTATAATATAATTCTGTAATGTATTTCATTAAGGTTTGAAAGAAAATTGGGTAGGAAGAGGAGCTTTGTGTTCTATCTAAAGTTAACAAAAAAACTCAAACCTAGAATTAAGGTGTCACATATTTAATGAGTGCCTAAAACGTGCTTCTGTCCCAGTATTCCAGTTAATCAAGGTTTTAACCATACTTGAAATTAGTCCACCATGGGCTTAATCTTCTACAGTCTGACCAAGCAGAGCGTGACCTTGACTTCTGAAGCAATATAACTTTATAATTTGGTGCCTTAGATATTTTAGTGACAAATAGCTTCTGTGCAGCATTTTATTTTTCAGCTTTAAATATTTATGTTTAATAATTATCTGATTTGGAGACACTCAAAGTTATACGGAAAGCTCTAGAAATACTCTTTGGAAAAACTTTAGAAAGGGTAGGCTAATATGTCCTGGAATGACTAACGTACACTCTAGACAAAAACAAACTGGAATTAATATATTACTAAATCATTTAAACATACGCTGCCCTAATACTTTACCATCTAGCAGATTTATCATATCTTAGGACAGCAAAGGAACCAAAGAAAAAAGGGTTTTAAGAAAAAAATAAAAGCAACTCACTTGTACTGCGTATTTGTAAAACTGTTCCGATAGTTCTCCTAGCTCCTCCCTAGTTTTGCAGGTGTTGGGAAATTCTTCCAGCCGGTCCAACTGTTCCACTTCAGCAATGGGATATGGCTTCTCTTTTAAAACCTGTACAATCTGGAAACGGCACAGGCCTGTAATCAGCAAAGTATAGTGGGGCTTGGGCCAGTTACTGCCCACAACCTGAACTGCCAGTGCAGCCGTTCCAATCCTGAAAGACACACGAAACATCAGTGTTACAAACACTGAATACGGCAGAACAGAAACTCACTTCAAAAGGAGTTGAGTTTTCTGAGAAATTCATTTAAAAGCAAAAAACATCTAAAGTTTAAATAAATTATTTCTCTAAGTTAGTGTCCAGTATGTGCTCTATTTAGTCACTGCCCTCAGCTATGGGGCAAAGCGAGCCATCTCACTATAATTAGCACCTCTTTTTTTTCTTTTTCCTTTTTTCTTTTTTCTGAGACAGAGTCTCACTTTGTTGCCCAGGCTAGAGTGAGTGCCATGGCATCAGCCTAGCTCACAGCAACCTCAAACTCCTGGGCTCAAGTGATCCTACTGCCTCAGCCTCCCGAGTAGCTGGGACTACAGGCATGCGCCACCATGCCCGGCTAATTTTTTCTCTATATATTAGTTGACCAATTAATTTCTTTCTATTTATAGTAGAGATGGAGGTCTTGCTCTTGCTCAAGCTGGTTTCGAACTCCTGACCTTGAGCAATCCTCCCGCCTCGGCCTCCCAGAGTGCTAGGATTACAGGCGTGAGCCACCGCGCCCAGCCAGCACCTGTTTTAAAAATTAGGAATTTCTAACATTTTGTATTATTGAGGCATAAAAACGTAAAAGCAGCTGATAATCATATAGTTTAAATTAAATTTGCCAAATAGGAATCAGGCAATCTTATACCAGAATAAATATTAGTATTTTTTTTTTTTTTTTGAGACAGAGTCTCGCTTTGTTGCCCAGGCTAGAGTGAGTGCCGTGGCGTCAGCCTAGCTACGCAACCTCAAACTCCTGGGCTCGAGTGATCCTTCTGCCTCAGCCTCCCAAGTAGCTGGGACTACAGGCATGTGCCACCATGCCCGGCTAATTTTTATATATATATATCAGTTGGCCAATTGATTTCTTCTATTTATAGTAGAGACAGGGTCTCGCTCTTGCTCAGGCTGGTTTTGAACTCCTGACCTTGAGCAATCCGCCCGCCTCGGCCTCCCAAGAGCTAGGATTACAGGCGTGAGCCACAGCGCCCGGCCTAAATATTAGTATTTTAAATATATTTGAATATAAAAAAGTAAACCAAAGAAACTTCTGTTCTAGCAACAGTTTTGTGACTAAAATCAAGACTGTTTTTTCATGTAATCTATCTATAAAACTTCTACATATCCACCTTATCACAAACCACTATCAAAATCTGGGAATACTAAATTTCCAAATGCAGGAGCTAAATATTCTAGATCACACACTGCTGTGGACTGAGGAGAGCTAAATAAAGACCTACATATCAAGAAGGTATAAACCTAGTTCTAAGTGGTAATCACCTCACTTAATAAAAGTTGCAAATGTTTTATTTAAGTCTCAGTTCCTTATCAGAACACACAACCCTTACCAAGTCACATATAAACTTGATTCACAGAAAGTCTCACCCAAACTAAACCAGTTATATAAAATATCAACATTCAGAAGATGCTTTCAGATCTCAAATTAAAATAGTGTTTTTCCCCTTTGGCCATAAGAAAGGTGGTAATTCCAGAAAAGAAACTAAAATTAAAGTGACTAGAGCTCTCAATTAACACACTGGGAAAATGGTAATACTAGAATACAGTAGCTGCCCATCTCAAATATAATGAATCACATACAAATACAGTAAGTGAACATTTCAGTGAATTTGCCTACTTCTATATACAGTGAATTCTTGATTACTTCCTTATAAATTATTCATTCTGTGGATGACATATAACCTTTGGCTTCCTTCTGCCACTTACCTTATTTTGATCTTCATCCATCCTTGTCAGCTTTTAGTCATTATCATGTGTACAAGGAATAAAAACCGATTTAAACAACAGCTTACGCCAAACAATTGGGAAAGAGAAAAAGTGAGGAGAAAAAGGCACATTCTTTAAAATATTGAAATGATTTGGCATTTATCTATTATTTTGATTTATTTGTATCATGGCTGCTTTTCTTCAGTCACTAATCAACAGTAAGTTACATTTGCCATTTCCTAAAAACCAACTCAGATTGTCTAAGAAAGTTAGCAATATTTAAATTGATTAGAGACCAATTTAGACTATAATTTATTATAGATATTCACCAATGAATGCACAAAGAGTTTACAGTTCTGTTTGTATATAGAAACAAGCACAGACAAGAAACTAGATCCTTGGCCTAAGGGGTTTACAAAGGAGAAACGAGAGAGAGAGAGAGAGAGAGACAGAGAGAGAGAGAGAGAGAGAGACAGAGAGAGAGAGACAGAGAGAGAGAGACAGAGAGAGAGAGAGAGAGGATAAACTCAAACCTCCAGATTAGGATATAAATTTGGGCTATATCACCAATAAAAGGTGCTACTAAAAAAATGAGTTTTCTTTCAAAACAATTAAAATGTTTTTGCTAACTGTGAAAAGAAGATCTTCCAAACTGAAAAGAGATTGAGTTGGATTTACACTATCCCTCCCTCTCATTCTAATGAGGCAAAATATATAAAGGTTTTATTTATTTATTTTTTGAGACAGAGTCTTGCTCTGTTGCCTGGGCTAGAGTGCAGTGGTGTCATTATACCTCACTACAACCTCAAACTTCTGGGCTCAAGCGATCCTCCTGCCTCAGCCTCCCCAGCAGTGGGGTCTACAGGTACACATCAACACTTCCGGCTAATTTTTCTATTTTTTTGTAGAGACGGGGTTTCACTATGTTGCCCAGTCTGGTCTCCAACTTCTGGCCTCAAGTGACCCTCCCCTGTCACCTCCCAAAGTGCTAGGATTACAGGCATGAGCCACCTCACCCAGCCATACATAAAAGTTTTAAACATGTTAATTAGTTTTTATTTGAAATCACTTATAGTTGACTCATAGAATGTATCCCTTAAAAAAAAAAACACACAATGTGTGAAATTATAGATGGCTATAAACAATTTCTGATGAAAGACATTTTGAGTGAAAAGCACTGTGAAAAAGGATCTATTATATATTGGGCTCTAGGTTTTATATATAAAAATAGGTAATTAAGTTATCCAATTACTCTAATACTTTTCTTCTATGCCACATAAGCTAGTCATCTTTCTATTGTAGCTCTTTTATTATGTGCATTAGGCATGATCAAAAAGCAACATTTTAATTTTGCAACAGATCTAAATTGCAAATGAGTGGCATCTTTCCCTTTAGTTAGTAGCTCTGTAAATCTATATTCTAATTACTGTGATGTTGTTCCAGGTCAAAGAATTTTTGAAACTTCTAACTGGAATCTACCCTCAGTTTTTAAAATATTATTTTAATCCAAACAAGGTCTGACTACAATGGGTATGATTTATATAATTTGGAAGGTGATCTAAATAATATAAGTGTTCCAAAAGTATTTAAGAATCATCAACTATAGAGGTGGGGAAAATCTAAAAACAGCATTACTAGAAAAAGCAGTTTTCCAAGATGAGGATATTAGGTAAATACCCAAATTCTGGTCTACATACCCAGAAATTTTTATTTTTTTTTATTTTACTGAAAGCCTCCATTTTTCTTGGAATCCTCAACCTTCCAAGTCCTTCTAAGGATGCTAGTTCAGTTTGGCCCATATTGGAAGAATACAGGTTCTCCCTACTCTCACCCCAACCTCCACTTGTGACATCTACATTTAAACCTACCACATTTGTGGAATAATAATACCACTAGCACATACATCTAGAATGTTGTGCAGTTAGAAAAGGCTTTCATAAATATTATTTCATTTTATGCCTTTCACCCCTATGAGGAAGGTAGCACTATCTCCTTATTACAAATGAGTAATTGAGATTCAAAAAGACATAACAAGTTAGTTATACATGGTTACAAGGAAATTTAATAGAAATAATGTTCCTGAATTAAGTGTTAAGACAAATTTTACTCTCTTCCCACCACAATGAGCAATATAAATTTTTACCTATAAGAAGTATAAAAGACTTACTAACATAGCTTCTAAAGAGCTGAGCCACTGGAAAGCATAGCTATTATTTAATATATAATTTTTACATTTTATATTTACTTAACGAAGAGAAGCACTTCTACCAAAGTTCTGGAAACAAAAGAAAAGTTACACATTTCTAGAAAAGAGCCATTGAAATATCTTTTTAGTTCTGTCTTGGTGTCACCCTATTTTTCTTGAATATTTGATTTCTCACAAGATTTATCATGATTAATAATAATTTAGAAGCAAGGCAGGAGTGTATTAGGATAGCTCCAAGGTCTACAATAGAAGAGGCTTCTGTTGCTATAGGATTTTTGATTCTCACCCGTTTTTAAAACTTCATTTCTGAATTTAGGAAATGCCACCTGTAGATAGACCTTCCTTAAGAAGAGTAAATGACTTAGGAAAATGTAAGTAAACTATCCATTATATATTTGCTAATATAAAAGAATAAACTTTAAAATTTTACTAGTATCAGGTAATATCTGAATGCCAAAGAATTCTAATAGATGAAAATAGGAGTGGTGCATGGGCAAAGAATCCAAATTATGAAACTATGCATCTGCCATATAGAAAGCTTTAACATTTTGTTAAATAGCCAATGAAACTTATTTGGGGTCTGCAGATTAAGAAGCCAACAAAGACAGATTGAAAAATTGGCACTATGAGTAAATAAAGTCATGTACCCTGAAGAATGTTAAGGCTGAAAGAAGACTGGATGACCACCTAAAATGCATGAAAGGATATCGTACAGGTAGTGCTAAATTATCATCCATTTTCCTTAAGAAAACAATGGATCACTCAGGAACCACTAAAAATACAGTTCAATTAAACAGAGAAATACAGGGCGTCTTGAGCTGGCATGTGAGCCAAGTTCTATACTGCAGGGCAAATCCAAAGCTCTTCCTTTAAAAGGCTCCTGCTAGGCAACATGCCTGCACACTAGTGCAGAAAGAGACTGTGCTGTTCAAAGCGGCAAAGGAGGTAGCACAGGCAAGTCAACATCTGGCCCTGCTCCTGTGTGTGGCAAAGAACACGAGAGCAAATTACTTCTGCTGCTCCTTGAAGACTGTGGCAGTGTCACCTAGACGGTGTAAAGGAAACAAGAGACAGAGCAGAGCCCCTCGCCTTCCTTCTGGGCATAACTACCATCTGGAAAAACAGGTAACTGGGGAAGGATAGATTTGTATAGAAAAACAGACTAATGCTATGGATAACTCAGTATTTATACTATTAAAGCTTTTTGTTTTTTAAAAGTAAAGAGTGTTTTTAAGTACATTTTAGAGAAAAAAAAAGAATTGGAACCTATTTACCAAGGAATATGGTACAATCTGTCCACATACTTTTCAAAGTAGCAAACATTTCCAGGATAACTAGATGGTCTGATGGGTTCTTATAATGCTAGAATTCTATGAAGACTTCTCAATGTATGTTTTCCAATTTGAATAATTAAGTTTTGACATTGCTACTCATTTAAAACAAAGGCAACAATATGAATATTAAGGCTCAGATTACACATTACCTGATACTAGTGATTACTTCCAGGCAGAAGAATTGAGTCACTGTTGTCCTGAAAGGATTTACATAAAAGAAACTAAAAATTCTCAAAGTCTTGCCTGAATAACACAAACAAATAGTCAAACTTAAAATATGACTAAGCCAGGGCTGTGGATGAAGCCTGTAATCCCAGCTACTTAAGAGGCAGAGGTGGGAAGACTGCTTGAGCCGAGGCGTTCAAGATCAGCATGGGCAACATAGCAAGACTTGTCTCTAAAAAATAAAATTAGGCCGGCACATGCCTGTAATCCCAGCACTTTGGGAGCTGGAGGAGGGAGGACCGCTTGAGTCCAGGAGTTTGAGGTTATAGTGAGCTATGTCCCGGCCCCTGCACAACAGCCTGGGTCATAGAGTGAAAGATTCTGTGAATCAAAAATAAATAAATAAAAAAAACAAAATATGACTAACTCTTCTTTTAAAATTCACAGCATATCCATAAGTAATCAATATATAGGCACAGAAGAAATAAGACACATAATCATGAGAACTCTTGCCTCAACAAGCAGGTAACTAAGTGCCTGGGCACAAAAGGCAAAAAATTATGGAAAAAATAAGCAGAGGTTCAAAGAGTGGAGTCATATGTTGGGAAATCCGAATCCAACACAATTTATCAAAGAGTACTAAAACTTGAAAAGTGTCCAACTCCACTTAGGCAATAACCAAAGCAGATCAAATGGGAGCCAAAATATTTTCCATGCTTGAGAAAAGCAAGGCTTAGGAATCCTCCTAGGGCTTATTTTATATGGGTAGGTCTTATTTTCGGGGAAACATGGTAATTGAAAAATATTGAGGGATAACTGCAAGGGAAGGAGCAACTCTAAATTGGAAAAACACTTCAAGCAGAGTTAAGGATAGGAGGCAGTGGCTTGGGAGGTGGGTTTGAAGATATTTGTTGACAGAATACCATCATTGTCCAATAAAAATATAATGTAAGCCATATATATAATTTTAGTGGCCACAGTATAAAGTAAAAACAGATGAAATCTTAGTATTAACATTTTATTTAACCTCAAGTGGTCAAAATATTACCATTCCAATATTTAATCTATGTAAAATTTATTAATCAACAAAACATTTTTCATACCAAGCTTTTCCCAAATCTGTTGTGTATTTGCACACTTAATAGCATATTAGGGTGACAGATCACCCTGGGACTGAAAGGCTTTCTGGGACATAGGACTTTCAATGCCAAAGTTAGGCCAGCCCTGGAAAACCAGGACACCCAGTCTCTAGCATCTCAATTTGGATGAGCCACATTTCAAGTGCTATATAGTACTGGACAGCACAACTATCCATCAAGCAGGGTGTAAAGCAGATTATACACATTATTTAAGCTTCATAACACACCTAAGAAATGGATGCTGTTAGTTTCTAAATTACAGATGAAGAAAGAAACAGATACACACCAAGCCTCTCAATCCAAAGTCACACAACTAGGGCAATCTAGTGGTAAGCCTGGGGCCTAAGAAGAGAAATGCTGAGATATGAAAGAGGGAGCAGAGGTGAGAAGCCAGGAAAGTTCTAGAAAGAAAAAGAAAAATGGGAGCAGGAATGACACTTTTAGGAAGGGAAACAGGTAATAGGAGAAGAAAAGGATGGCAAGGAGTGTAGAAGGCACTCAAAAGTTAAGGGGAGGGGTGGTGCAGTTTAGGAATAGAACAGGAAAAAGAGAAAAGGTATTAAGTAGAGAGTGTCTCAGAGAACAAAAATGATAGGAGGGAGGCAGAAAAGGGGCGCAGGGAATAGGAAGAAAAGGGAATAGGTGGAAGGGGGAATGGGGAACGGAGAAAAGGAACGAAAGAGAAGGCAGAAATTATCCAGGGAGAAAGGAAGGGCCTGGAAAGTTAAGACAACTGGCCTAGCAGACTGAAGACCAAGGGCGGGGTGAGGGGTCGGGGGGAGAATCAATCGTATCAACAGCAGCAGGTAATGGTAGAGATTTCACCAGATGCCATGAACTGCTTCATGAATTATCTCACTAAGGATCACCGGAGGTTATCTGTAACCCCCATTTTCCATGTGGGGAGACTGAAGAGGCAAATCCGAGCCGCAAAGGCTGCCCGGAACCGAACCTCTGCGCTCAGAGTCCGGCCCGCCCGCCGCCGCCGCGGGGCTCCGGGCCTACCTGTGCAGCGGCGGCAGGTCCTGCGCGTCATTGGCCGGGTCCGGCGTGTTGGGGATGACGCCCAGGATGGTGCTCTGCAGCGACGTGCCCTTGAGCAGGCGGTTCCGCACCAGCTGCAGGTTGCGGGCCGAGTCCACGCTGGTGCGCATGGTGGAGCCGGGCAGCAGGACGCCCTCGTGCGTGAGCAGCAGCGGCAGGCGGCTGGGGATCTGGATGGGGCTCACCGACGACATGGCGACGCCCGTTCGCACTAGGGGCAGTGGAAAGAAGCGAACAGACGGCGGCGCACGGCCTAGGCCACCGACCGCCACCGCAACTCGCGGCGCCCGCCCCGCCGCTTCCGGCCGGCGCTACGGTCCGCCCCCAGGCTCAAACGCCGCAGCTTCGCGCTGCCCCGGGAGCCACGGGCGACGCTCCGAGTCGTAGATACGCGAAAAGAGGCACACAGAAGCGCGCTGTCACCTGCGCCTCTTTTAGGCTCACTTGCAGAAGGCGTTAGGAACGATGTTTGAGTTTGAATTGTATATACTTGAAATGTCTTTAACTTGTTATTCGAATTGATTTTAGAATTATAAAAATGTTGCAAAAATATAGTAAAGAGTTCCCGTATACCTTTCAGCCAGCTTCCCCTGATACCATTTTACCTAGTAAATCATACTTCACATTTCAAAACTGGGAAATCGACATTACTATTATCACTTCCATAGACTTTACCCAAATTTTACCAGTTTTTCCACTAATGTCCTTAGTTGGATCTGGTCCAGGATCCAACCCAGGACCTCACTCTTTATTTTGTCATGATATCTCCTAGGTCTCCTCCGACCTGTGGCAATTCCTCAATCCTTTTTTTTTTTTCTTAAAACCTTGATACTTCTAAAGGATATCGGTCAGTTGTTTTGTAGAAGGTCCTTTAATTTGGATTTATCTGGTGTTTCTCATGATTAAATCAATGGTGTACATTTTGGGGGCCAAAAACCATAGAAATAATGTTGTAACCTTGCAGTGATGCATGATGGTGAAATGTCTCATTAATGGTGACTTTAATCTTGAGCATTTGGTGATCTGCCATGTCTCTTTTTTTCTTTTCTTTCTTCCCCGCCCCTTTTTTTTGAGACAGAGTCTCACTCTGTTGCCCTGGGTAACAGTGCTGTGGCATTGTCATAGCTCACTGTAGCGGCCAACTCCTGGGCTCAAGCGATCCTCCTGCCTCAGCCTCCTGAGTAGCTAGGACTACAGGCTTACCAGCTATTTTTTCTATTTTCGGTAAAGACAGGATCTCACTCTTGCTCAGGCTGCTCTTGAACTCCTGAGCTCAATCAATCCTCCTGCTTTGGCCTCCCAGAGTGCTAGGATTTCAGGCTTGAGCCACCACGCCTGGCCTGGGTTTCTTCACTGTAAATTATTTTTCTTTTTGTAATTAATAAGCATCTTGTGAGGAGATAATTCTATATTTATTAGTTAGAATTCTACTGTGAGAAAAAGCTACCCCATCTCCCCCATTTATTTAGTTAATTACTTATTGATGTTAGTATAGACTACTGAATATTTATTTTTTATGGGCTATAATCCAATAATATTATGTATTTCTTTGCTTGAATTGTTTCAGATTTGACCATTGCAATAGGAAGGGGGCAGGGCCAGATTGTAGAGGGCTACTTAGGCTCTGGTAAAGAGTTTGGATCTTACGCTAAGCCTGACGGAAGCCAAGAGATTTCAAAGTGATTATCTGGGTTATGTTTTCAAAAGTTTATTTTGGATGCCATGAGGAGAGTGGAATGTAAGGATGTAAGATCAGAAGCAGAGAGGTCAGAAAGAGTTAGTTGCAGTTGTCCAGGCAAGAAGTGATGATAACTTAGACTAGGAGCAGGTGGAGTCAAGCTATGTTTGTAGTTTCAACAGAACTGCCAATTGATGGGACATGAAGATCAAAGGAAAAACAGTTGTCAATGATTATTCTGGGTTGAGGCCTGAGCCACTAAAGCCTAGAGAGAAGTGGAGCTGGTAGCTGAAGACCTTGAGTGTAATCAGCAGGCTCATGGTCATTTCTCTGGGTGTGTACTATGTCCTCTACCCTGTGCTCAACTCTGGGGAGATACAGAGATCAAATATGCATTGCCCAGGAGCACAATCACTTACCTTTCATCAAGAGTCTCTCCAAGGGTAAGGAGGCAGGGGCCTCATTCTTTGAAGCTCCTAGTGTTTTAACAAAGAACTTATAAAACCATCTTACAAACTTTGTGGTATATTTTTAAAACAGTTAAGTGTTTTAAAATGTTTGATGCTCTTAATGTACACACATGTTCCAACAACATTAAGCAATGCTGTGTAAGTATTCTGCTCACACAATAATTGCCATATATATTTTTTAAAATACAAATTCATGCTGCACTATGGAAGGTATGGTGTGGAAATAGGCCCAGGGTTAACATGCCTGCTTAAGGAACATCTTCTTTCAATCCTGTCACTATATCTCTGTGATGGGCTGTGTCAGCCTCCTTGGGGGGCCATCAAGCATCTAAATGTGAAGGCTTTTATGACTCTGTGGCTTTCCTGGCTCCTTTTTGACAGGCCATGCATGTTCTTTATTTTCCATCAAATATTTATTAAGCATATACTATGTGCTGAGCACTTTTCTAGATCCAAGGATATATCAGTGAACAAGGCAGACAAGGTCCCTGGTTTTTTGTGTGTATGTTTTGAGACAGAGTCTTGCTCTGTGGCCCAGGGTAGAGAGCAGTGGTGTGATCATAGCCCAGGGCAGCCTTGAACTCCTGGGCTCAAGTGATCAGCCTCAGCCTCAGCCTCAGCCTCCCGAGTAGCTGGGACTATAGGCATGCACCACCACACTCAGCTAATTTTTTTTTTTTATTTCGGCATATTATGGGGGTACAGATTTTAAGGTTTCAATAAATGCCATTTCCCCCCTTCCCCCAAAAGTCTGAGCTCCATCATGACCATCCCCAGATGGTGCACATCTCACTCATATGTATGTCTATACCCGCCCGCCCCCCTCCCACTCCCCAATACCCTATTACTGTAGTACCTATGTGTCCACTTAGGAGCTACTCAGTTAATACCAGTTTGCTGGAGAATATATCTGGTGCTTTTTTCCATTCTTGGGATACTTCACTTAGTAGTATGGGTTCCAGCTCTAACCAGGAAATATAAGATTGTGCTATATCACCATTGTTTCTTAGAGCTGAATAGTAACTCCATTGTATACATATACCACTTTTATAATCCATTCTGGATTGATGGGCACTTGGGCTGTTTCCACAGTCTTGCAATTATGAATTGTGCTGCTATAAACATTCGAGTGCAGGTGTCTTTTTTGTAGAGTGTCATTGGATCATTTGGGTAGATGCCCAGCAATGGGATTGCTGGATCAAATGGTAGATTCACTTGTATCGCTTTAAGGTATCTCCATATTGCTTTCCACAGAGGTTGAACGTATTGCAGTCCCACCAGCAGTGTAGGAGTGTTCTCTCTCTCCGAAAACGCCAGCATTTATTGTTGGAGATTTTTTGATAAAGGCCATTCTCACTGGGGTTAAGTGGTATCTCATTGTGGTTTTGATTTGCATTTCCCTGATGATTGAGCATTTTTTCATATGTTTGTTGGCCATTCTTCTGTCTTCTTTAGAAAAGTTTCTGTTCAAGTCCTTTGCCCACTTTTTAATGGGGTTATTTGATTTTTCTTCCTGATTTTCGTGAGTTCTAAGTATATTCTAGTTATCAGTCCTTATCGATGCATAGGATGCAAAAATTTTCTCCCATTCTGTAGGTTGTCTGTTTACTTTCATGACTATTTCTTTGGCTGTGCAGAAGCTTTGTAGTTTGATCATGTCCATTTTTTATTTTTGTTGCTGCTGTGATTGCTTTGGGGACTTCTTCATAAACTCTTTGCCCAGGCCGATGTCTAGGAGAGTGTTTCCAACTTTTCCTCTAGAGTTCTAATAGTTTCATACTTAGGTTTAAGTCTGTATCCAGCGTGAGTTGGTTTTTGGGAAAGGTGAAAGGTGTGGTCCTGTTTTAGCCTTCTACAGGTGGCTATCCAGTTTTCCCAGCGCCATTTATTGAAAAGGGATTCTTTTCCCCAGCGTATGTTTTTGTCTGCTTTGTCAAAGATTAGATGGCTATATGAGGATGGTTTTATATCAGGATTCTCACATCTGTTCCACTGGTCAATATCCTATTTTTGTGCCAATACCATATTGATTTAATTACTACAGCTTTGTAGTATAGTTTGATATCTGGCATATTAATGCCTCCCATTTTGTTTTTGTTGCCTAGAATTGCTCTTGATATTCGGGGTCTTCTTTGGTTCCATACGAAGCGTAAAATTATTTTTTCTATATCTGTGAAGAATGCTGATGGGATTTTAATAGGTATTGCATTGAATCTGTAGATCAGTTTGGGTAGTATAGACATTTTGATGATATTGAGTCTGCCGATCCACGAGCATGGTATGGATTTCCATCTGTTTACATCCTCTGCTATTTCCTTCCTCAGTGTTTCATAGTTCTCCCTGTAGAGGTCTTTTATGTCCTTGGTTAAGTATATTCCTAGGTACTTTAATTTCTTTGTTGCTCTTGTGAAGGGAATTGAGTCTTTGATTTGGTTCTCAATTAGATTGTTGTTGGCGTATATGAATGCCTCTGATTTCTGTGTATTGATTTTGTATCCCGAGACTTTACTAAATTCATTGATCAGTTCCAGGAGTTTCTTGGTTAAATCTTTGGGGTTTTCTAGATACAATATCATATCATCAGCAAACAGTGAAAGTTTGATCTCTTCTGCCCCTATTTGGATACCTTTGATTCCATTTTCCTGTCTGATTGCTGTAGCAAGACTTCAGCACTATGTTGAAAGAAGTGGAGATAGTGGGCAGCCTGTTCTGGTTCCAGTTCTAAGTGGAATGATTCAATTTTTCCCCATTCAGTATGATGTTGGCTATGGGTCTGTCATATATGCCTTGTATCATTTTTAGGTATGTCCCTTCTATTCCTATTTTCTTAAGTGTTCGTATCATGAAAGGGTGTTGAATTTTGTCAAAAGCTTTTTCTGCATCTATTGAAAGAATCATGTGGTCTTTGTTTTTGCTTCTGTTTATGTGGTGAATTGCATTTATAGATTTACGTATGTTGAACCATCCCTGCATCCCTGGGATTCAGCTAATTTTTAAATTTTTTGTAAAGATGGGAGTCTCGCTATGTTGTCTAGGCTATTCTCAAACTCCTTGGACTCAAATGATCTTCCCACCTCAGCCTCCCAAAGTGCTGGCTGGGATTACAGGCATGAGCCACCAGGCCTGTCCCAAAGAGCTTACATTCTAATGAGGTAGGCAGAAAATACATAAGCCAACAAAGAAATAAATGGCAATTTCAGAAAGTGATAAATAAAGGAAATATAGTAGGACAATCTGTAAAAGGCGTTTGGGAGAGGATGATGCCTTTAGGTGGGGAGGTCTGCGAAGGGTACTCTGGAGATGGTGCTTGAGCTGAGACCTGAATGATAAGAATAGATCAGCTCCCGAGGAGCTGGCAGGAGAATATTCATGGCAGAGATTAGGGCTAGTGGAAAGATCAAGGTGGGGAGGATTGTCCTAGCTTCTGGAACAGAGGAAAAGGCCAGGCGCTGGGATGTGGGGATTCAGCCATCCGCAAGATGGCCTGCTGAAGCTGCAGGAGCTCATGGAAGGAAATCACCCGAAGAGTACGGAAAGCTAAATAGCACAGGCTGAGGTGCAGCAAGAGTTCCGGATCACTTGAGCTTCTTTAGGGCCTGGGTTGCAGGTGCTTCTGCCCCTTGCCCTAGGCACTTCCTCACCTCCTGCCCCCCATGCACTTTCTGGTCTTGAACACTAGACCCTACTAGGTGAGTGGTAAGAACAATGAGGAAATAAATCAGCTCTTCCTGAAAGCCTTTGTCTCAGGTTACCTTTGCTCCAGCCACTCCCCTCCTGTCCTGTATGTAAATGGCCCATGTCTAAACCAAGTTGGCAATCATGACCTTTGCTTCTGGGAAAGGGGAGAACACAGGGCTGGAAGCATCTGTTTCCTCTCTGTTTTATTCCCAGTCATGTCCTGGTCCCCACTCTGACTGTTGTGATGGTCTTGCCACTAATTAAACTGAATAACTTCAGCTCCAACTTCTTCCTGAGAGGAAGTTGGGAGGCCAGGGAAATTTTCAGGGCCTGCCAAAGGAAGCTCTGGAGGGAATTCCCCCGGCCAGTCCAAGAAATGGAGGTGGGCTTTGTAGGACTGGCCAGAGGCCCAGGTTAACATGTGGCTCAGCTCCAGTTTCATTGGGATGTGCAATTCATGTTCTGCAAACATTCATTACACATGTTTGCATTTTCTTAATTTTCATTTGGTTTGGTTTTCCCTGTTGTTAGTTTCCTGGACAAAATCCATATAGGAAATAGTCACACTTAGGAAAGCTTGGTTGCATCTTTTTGCAGGTGTGTATGAATAAACCAGGTTGGGATATCATATTATATCTGAAAGGTGAGAGAAAATCTAAGTTCTTTAGTTGATCTCTAAGAATCTGCTTTTACTCACGATCCTCTACTTGCTGGTTAATGAGGGGAAAATAAATGTTTAGGCTTACCATTTTATGATCTTGTTTGATCCAATAATTTAAATGCTTCCATTAAATAATACTCAGTAATGAGTATTAAATAATACTCATTAAATAATACTCAGTAAAATGACAACTCATTTTCAGAGTTGTCATCTGTCAGAGGAAGAGTTGGGGACCTAGGCAGTGTCCTGTGCTCTAGGGTTGTGCAGGTGATATCTTTTATCCAGGTCACTGCCTGTCCTACTGTTGTTAGAAGCTGACTGGTCTTGTGTAGGTCTTCAAGTGATGCTTTTTAGCTCATTCACCTGGGGGTGTTTCTTGAGCTGCTGGGACCCACCTATCCTGCCTCTGTGGCACTGTGTTCCCCTCCAAGATCCGTGTTCCCAGTTGTTTGCAGCCTGGGTTGTCCACCAGACCACCTCTTGCAAGCTCTTTACCCTGACTTTTAGCAACTTCTTGTTCTCATCTATACCACAGGAGAGCCAGGAAAGCTAACTAGTCCCTAGGCACAGCCAGAAATAGTCCTTAGAGCCCTTATAAAAAGATGTCCCCAGAGGGAGGAGGATTTAGAAAAAGGTACCACTTTTTCAAGATGGATGCAGCAGTGATCTGAGGGAGCCTGTTCAGACTGGCTCAGGAGAACCAGTGGTCAAATTTTCACGAACTTTGAGAGCCCAGTTTTTAAATACAAACATTAATAAAATTAAATTGTATAAACTTACAGTTAAATTATATTAAAATGTATCATTTCCTAATTATTTTACTACCTTTAACTTTTATTTATACCTTTGATGTTACATACATCTATTGTATCTGGATGGCAGAAATGCTATCTAATGATGTCATATTGTGCCTCTCTTCCCAATTCTGCATTCAGTGCAGCTGTGTTGGTGTGGAATCTGGAAATCAGCTGTGATGGGAGTATTTACACCATAGAAATCAGCAAAGGCTACACATCAGGGCTTGATTTATTGTTTTGTTGATTGTCTAGGCTTAAGAAAGAAATGTAGGGGGAAAAAAAGAAAAAAAAAAAAGAAATGTAGGAAATGTTAATAATGCAGATTAAATTCACAAATGTGTGGTACCTGTAGCCATTACATTGTGAATAGTGAAAAAAAATAAGGGAATATTCTTTTAATATTTAAAAAATTATTCAGCAAATTTACTCAGGTCATTGACAAATGGGTGAAGATCCAGTTCCAGCCAACATTCATGTTTGGTATTTCACTGTCTTCTTACTTGTTAACATAGAGTAAAATGTCGAGGAATGTGTATGTTGGGACTGCACTCATTCACTATTGCAGCCGTAGGGTGATCAGCACACCACTACGGGCTACCCTCACCAGGGCACAGGACTTGCCATCTAGAATTCGCCACCTTCATCCCATGCCCCATGCCTTTACTGATGATCTGCGTGTGAATAAACTGTACAGCAGTACACTGTGACCCTAACCCCAGGGCCTCATTCTATTGAATCATGCCAATTTTATGTTAATATGCCTATGGCAGCCAGAAAACTGGCCTCCTCCCAGAGTCTTTTTTTTATGGACAGTAAGTTTTGATAATACCTCCCAGAGTCTTTTTTTTTTTTTTTTTTTTTGAGACAGAGTCTCGATTTGTTGCCCAGGCTAGAGTGAGTGCCGTGGCGTCAGCCTAGCTCACAGCAACCTCAAACTCCTGGGCTCGAGCGATCCTTCTGTCTCAGCCTCCCGAGTAGCTGGGACTACAGGCATGAGCCACCATGCCCGGCTAATTTTTTATATATATATCAGTTGGCCAATTAGTTTCTTTCTATTTATAGTAGAGACGGGGTCTCGCTCTTGCTCAGGCTGGTTTTGAACTCCTGACCTTGAGCAATCCGCCCGCCTCGGCCTCCCAGAGAGCTAGGATTACAGGCGTGAGCCACCGCGCCCGGCCCCTCCCAGAGTCTTATACAAAGAGTATATGGCACCCTGTCTGACCTAATACATCTCTTTCTCTTTTCTGCCATTCCTGAAGGGACCACATTCTACTACTACATGGCAAGTGAACCTCATGTCAGGTGCCATGGCTGGGAAGTCTATCCTGACTGGTTTCCAGGAGAATTCCAGAAACTGAGTGTACCAAATTTAGTTGTGATTTGGTAAAAGGAGTGGGATGGGAAGGGGTGGGAAAAGAAATTTAGAGAATCTCCTAAAATAATGGGCTAGGTTGTGGTCTATTTGCTTGAAGCACAATCCAATATTTGAATGTCAAAAATTATCTGAACAACAGGACCAACTACATAATTTGCTGGACTCAGTGCAAAATGAAAATGTGGGGCTCCTTGTTCAAAGTCATTAAGAATTTCAAGATGGCAACAGCAGAGCACTAAACTAACCTGGGACCCCTCTCAGTGAGAGACCTAGGCTGTGTCCCCAAGACACTGGCACTACTGCACATTTTCTTCCTCTTTCTATCTCCTCGAGAATATTTCTAATTACCACCCTCTCTCCCACCTTAGGGCACAGGGATGTTCTAGGTCAACCAGGGAGTGAGTCACACACTGAGAAAGGCAAAAATGAAAAGCATATTCCTTGTTTCCCCCCACAAAAAACCCCCACCTTGATCACTTAGGGTTCCTAAATTGTGACAATTACCTCTGGAGTCTGTAAAAACCAAAAGTCAAAGAAAGGAAAAGTGATGTTTCTTTTGCTGATTCATTCAGGCATTGAGACCTGCTCTCCTCCCAGCACACTCCAGGCCCCTGAGATTCAGAGTGGGCAAAACAGACATATCCCTGTCCTCGTGAGGTTCCCTGTGTAGTGCAGAAAGTGAACATATGCACAGTTACAGGCTGGGATATGGCAATAAGATGGTTTTATAAACAAGCCTTTGATAGATCCAAAGAGACTGGCCTGGCCCAGGGAGGGTGTGGGGTGGGGACGATGGTCACAGAAGGTTTCTCTAAGTGATCTTAGACCAAGCACATTTCAGGCAGAGGGAAGAGCCCATGCCGTGACAATAACCCAACCCTCTGCATGGCCCTGAAATGTCTTCAGGGTGATGCCCCCTCTCCTGGCTGCTCAAGGCTGGATCTAAGCTGCTTTTACCTGTGCCTTTTCAGATTCTCTGCTTCTGGGAAACAAAGAGTTATCAGAACAACTGAAAATGACCAGGAAGAGGACATACTGGGTCCCCAACTCTTCTGGTGGCCTTGTGAATCTCGGCATGGATGTAGGCGATGACAGGGTTTCGGGACTTAGCTATGTAAGTTGATCTTCTTGGCACCAAAACACCAGGAAACTCAGTTGACAATATTCTCGATGGTCATAAATAAGGTCAAAGAACTTTGCCCAATGTTTATTTACCCTTGATTTTTTCCAATAGACCTCAGGCCTCCACAATTGGATGAGTCATGATCCTTGGACACAACACATGTTTGTGATTCATGCATCTGTATGTCTGTCTGTCAATCATTGATTGCCTGTTTATCCACGCATTTACTTATAATAATATAATAAGCACCTGAAAACCCATCATCAACGCACCAGCTCCGACCTTGACAACTACCCCCAGCTCTTGGTCTTCCCTCACCTCGGTGCCCAACCCCCCTACCTGACGGGACCGCTGCTCTGAATCTCTGTCTGTCTCTTGCTGTGCTGTTAAAATAGTATTTGATATTATTTGTTCCATATAAAGTCCTAAAAGTTACCTATCTTTTAATTTCAGCTGTCAAAAAGGTAACATGTAATATTTTGTGATTCACTGTTTTACTTATTTCTTTTTTGGTAGATTAACTCTCAGAGGGTGACCTGGTTTCACATTCTGTGACTGACTATGGCACCTTTTATTTCTATCTGCCTCGTTTATTGCTAGATAAAAATCCAAGGAGGTGGAGTGACCAAGCCAGAGTCAGTCACCCAGCAAAAGCAGGGCAGAGCCAGGCTGGGCCCACAGCCCTGACTCTGGTCCTCTGCTCACCCTTGGGAAGCTGGATGTGGAAGGGCCGCCTCCTCCTGGGCAGCTGGTCCAACATTCCCTCAGGACAGTATTTTATGACATTGGAAACTGGTGACCTTTTGGTTTTTCTTTCCAAAGAAAACGTACACTGTCAAAGACAGCCCCTGGCCTGCGCCGGAGGGGAAGCCTGAGGCGGCGCCGCGGGCGGACGCACTCTCCCGGGGGAAGTATGCCGCTGCCTGGAGGACCATGGTCCCCTTCCGTCGGAAGCCCAGGTGAGTGCTGCGGAGGAGAGAGAGGCGGTCTCCACCAGGGCAGCGATCCTCAACTCTCACACCCAGACCTCTCACAAGGTGACATCACCGTGTCCCCACAGTCATGTCACCGCCGCAACCAAGCACCTCCAGAGCAGCGGAGGCACATCAGGGAGGCACAGGCGTCACCCGCGCTCTTCACCCGGCAGGGCGCGCCCCGGCGGAGGCACAGCCCTGCGCCAGGCAGACGCCTCTTTCCCGCGCGGACCTCGCGTGGGGAGGGAGGCAGTGAGCAAGGAGGCTCATCAGTAACCCGAGACTGCAGGCTGTTTGAGGGAGGTGCCATGACAGGTGTGGGCTGAGGGACGAACAGCGACATCCTGACGAGTTCCGAGAGACTTACGTCGAGTGAACAGCGAAGGCGCGAGGAGTGGGGAGAATGCCTGCGCGGCGATGGCGCGCGGAGGCCTTCAGTGCGCGTGCGCGAGGGACGGCGGGCGTGCGGGGCGGGCGGCGGTGGCGGCGCTGAGCCGGGCGCCCTGGCGGACATGCCCGAGGAGCACGCAGGCCCAGGCGGCCACGTTAGGATGTTAATCTTCCTTCTAAGGGTAATGGACAGCCTTGGAAAGAGCGAAAAACCCTGTCCTGTGAGCCTTAAATTTAAGAATTAAATAAATTCAACTTACACTTGTCCAGTAAATCGTAATTTAATGTAATCACCCCCCAATTGCCTTCTGACTTAACACAGCCTTGCTTTTGGGGAGCGCCACAGCATCGCACCCCCCAAGCATGACGCGTTCATTTATTGTCATTTCTTGACAAGACCTTAGTGCGCTTCTAGTCTGATTCTTCAGTGTTTCACCACCAAGAGTTCATTTTGTATCTGCAGTTCCCTCTTCTCTTCAAAGTGTTTTCTAAGATTGTATCTATCAACAAACTGAGTCTGTTTTCCCATTTTTAAAACTTGAGTTCCTATCCATAGTAGCTGCTTTGTAATCATACTGAATTGATGTTATCGTCACCAAGAACAAAGAAGCTTGGTACTTTAGTTCACCTGGGCAAGCTCATCTTAGATAAATACATTGTTCCTGTTGGGCCTTTGGGTTATTGGCACTGGCTCATAGATTCTCACCCTATCTTTGGTGATCACAGATGACCAGTATTCATACAATCTCTTGCCCTACCCTTGCTCCCACCTCTGGCCAAGGTCCCTGGTAAGGGCACATGCCAGCCTTGTCGAGCACGCAAAGTCCTGGTGCTGTGAGTATATAAAGGGCCACAGAGTGGAGAAAATATGCCATAGCAACCCCCAGAGAAAGAAATCTCACAACATTGACATTTGCATCTTCCCATCTTTCTCCTCTAAACTTTTTTGACTTGAATTTTCTTCACATTGAAACATATACCCTTAAAAGCAATTTTTAAAAAGTAGAAAAATTACTCACAATCCCAACACCTTAATTCAGTCATTTTTTTGAATTTGTGAATCATTCTCAAAGATAAGACCTTGTCGTTTTTATTTACTTTTAATTTTATTATTTTTGTAGAAGTAACAAAAATCAAAGCTTTGACAATCTCTTTTTCTATTTCTTTGCCAATTCCAGTTCCTTCTTTTTTTTTTTCTTTTTTACATAAGTAAAAAAAATACTGAATTTTTTGATCTGCAAGGAGCCTTGATTTTTCTTGATTAAGATGCTTGGAGCTTTTCCCATGTTCTACAAATAAATCAACTCTATTTTTGAAAACTTCTACATTGCATTGGATAGTATGAATCTATCATAATTTCTCTCTTTCTATTTAAATAATTCCTCTGTTAATGGGTATTTTTGTTGTTTATGGTTTTCAACTTATAAATAATAAAGTCATAAAAAGATATTTGTATATAGAACTATATGACCACATTATGATTTTTACAGTTTACATGATTACAATTCATCTTTTCAAAATCTTGAGCTTGACTTCTTTTTTATTCTGCCTGTGACCTCTTTGCTAGGTTTCCTGCCCCTAACCCTGTGGACAACGCTGGCCTGTTCTCCTACCTCACAGTGTCATGGCTCACCCCACTCATGATCCAAGGCTTACGGAATCGCCTAGATGAGAAGACCGTCCCTTTGCTGTCAGTTCATGATGCCTCAGCCAAAAATGTCCAAAGGTAAGGTCGTGTTGGGAAGCCACTGGATTGGTTAAAGACCATCTCTTGGTGGGACGGTAGCCAGAGATGCTTACCGGCTGGAGGGAGGGGCCAGCCTCAGACAACTTGGTGCGTGAATCTCCTGGAATGATAGCATGTTTTGTACATACAGGCTGGCGATCTTTTTCTGGAGCAAGGAGACATATCTGTTATCAGATTTGCTGAAGAGTACATGAGCCCAAGAAAGTTAGAAATGACTGCTTTGAGTCCCTTTCATTTTCTGCCCTCAATTGGGCATTTAACAGCGCACTACTTGAGTATTACATTTGGGTACGTGGCCCAGTCTCCTAATCCTCAAGCCACCACCATCTAGTTGTGATTAACTTTCTTGTACCACCTACTTCACAGGGTAATACGAGGATCAAATGGTGAAAAAAATGATTATGTGATTTAAATGTCCTGAATTCATGTTCCTACTTCTAGCTGCTTCATGAGAAACACCTGGTAGAAAATGAAAGTTTCCAAATATGTTCAGGGAGAGATTATAATCCAATAAGAGCCTCCCTGAAAAGAGCATTCAGTGGTCAGGGGAGTTTGTGAAATGTTGTATATTATTTCTAGGTCTTGGATATTTACAAGGCAAATTAGTATATTTAAGGCACTGAAAAAATATGAAATACAGAAATTGGCTAAAGTTTGACCCATTCCTTCTCAGTCTTATTCACTAAGAAAAAAATGGCTCCAGGAAACATCTGTAGGATAATGCCAGATATTGGTAAAAATCTCACTCCTCTCACCAACTACGATGTCAGACACATTGTCCTTTCCAGGCCCTGTGTCCTTATGAAATAGTGATCATAAAATCTATTTCATGGTCCTTCATAGGATTGTTGTAAGAACAAAAGAGGTGATAAATTCTGTTTACGGTGCCTGGACAGGTGCCTGATGCATAACATGCAACCAGTGAAATGTCAGTTTGCTTGTTCTTCTCTGACCATTGTGAGTACAAGATCTCCTGATCTGCTTCATTCACTTTCAGTTCACCAATTCTGCCTTTTTATGTCCTTACTCACAATGTCTGTCCACTAACAGTTTTGCAGTTCACTTAATTTTTGGATATTTATTTGAAATAAACAATTATCCACACATTCATCCCTTTAGAGAAGAGGGTTTTGTTTTTTCTTCTACACGTACACTATTTAACAAACAGAGTTCTCGGGTGCATCTTCCCTGACCCTTCAGAAGAACTACTCTGGCTTCTTTGAGGATTTGCCGAAAAACTGCCAACCATCCTCTCCACCACCACCACTGCCACCACCACCATTACCACCATCACCACCACTACCACCACCACCACCACCACCACTACCACCACCAGCACCACTGCCACCACCACCATTACCACCATCACCACCA